TCAAGTCACTTGCCCGAAGCCACACAGCTAGGGAGGGGTGGGTGTCCAACTTAGGCCATCTCTGCTTTCTCCTTTCACCCTGCTCCTCTTGCCCCCATCAACTGTGGTCAGAGAGTCCCTTGTGCCAGTTTCTCTATCTCAGGGGCATGAGGTTCAAATTTTGATATGAAATCTCGTGACTGAGTGTTCCTGACTAACCTGTTAGGCGCGATTCCGATGTTCTGGCTGAGCTTGGTAGCATGACTAGGTGGGAGTGGGCTGTAGCATTAGGCCAGTCTGGGCGCCGGTCCTTGATTTGCCACTCATTCGCTGTGTGACTTCTGGCAAGTTGCTTAACGTCTGTGATCTTCCAGGGGGTTTTGTGAAGGTGACGTTTACCGACTGTGACAGTGCTCATCGTCCTGTCGGGCAGGCGGTCGAGGCCTCCCTAGTCGCTCTCCTTTCCTTCCTCCTTACCTGCAGCCGCAGTGTGCTTCAGAGATGAGGTCCCCATGCCTGTCTTCCAGGAGTCCACAGAAGGCCCAGGTGGGGGCTGGGGAACCTTCGAGATCAGGAGTCAGGGGACTTGCGCTGGTGCCATTGGAGAGGTTTCTCTGATTACCTGTAAGTGGGCGCCTGGGTGGGCAGCTTTCTGATTTGTCACGTTTAGGCCAGGACAGGCCTGTGCCGGCGGGGCCAGCGCCGCGGCGGGTGGGCATGGGGCGCGTCACCTTTTCCCTTCAGGCCACTCTTGTCACCGCTGTGCAGCTTCCTCCCCACAGAGCTCTGCAGAGCCTGCTGGCTCTGTCCAGAGTCGGAGTGGTGGGAACACAGGCAGCTTCGGGTGCCCTCCGCCCGCCAGGACCTGGGGGCGGCAGGTTCTGCAGGTGCAGCATGAGTCAGACGCAGCTCCTCGTGGGTTCCTCTGCAGTGAGGTCGGGGGGGGGGGGGGAGGCTGTGGGAGCCGCAGGCATCGCCCCTTTGGGCTGAAAATTATGGAAAAGGGTCATCTGTGTGTATGGGGCTGCCCATGGGTCTTGTTGGATATGCCCGTGGCTTGGCGTGGGAGGCCTGGGGGACACCAGGTGGGAAGTGGAGGGGGACTCCTGGTGTCACGCAGCCTCCTGGAGAAGTGGCTGTCTTGGCAGGCAGCCGGAAGGCGAACACGTGGAGGAATCCGTCCAGCTCACTTTTCTACTTCCCCGTACAGCTGCCACTGAAGGGGAGGTGGTTCCATCACCCCAAGTTTAAGATTCTCGTAAAGGGTGTTAATATCCTGTGATGACACAGAGGAATTGCACTTAGCAGGCCCATTTAAAGAGGGGCTGGGAAATGGACCCTCTTTTAATAGTGTGGCCTTTACTGGGCAAGTTAACTCCTTAAGCCAGCCAGTGTCAGGATCCGAGGGGGTGTCTGTGGTTTTAGGGCTTCTTTGCCTCATTCATTGATTTGTATAGATCTTTCCAAATTCCGGTGGCACCTGTGGGGTTATGGAGAGCCTCTGAAATGTGAGCATGCGTATGATGACTCCCCCAGCATTCATTGATAAATCTTGGTCACTATTGACTCATTCTGAGAATGGGGTGGAGGGGCAGGAGACTGGAAAAGAAAATGGGGCATGACTCTGCTTTCCTCTAAATTTCACAGGTGGAGGACAAGCCATTCCCTCTTTGGCTCTTGGTCTCACAAGTTCATTGTCACTGGGCCCATTGCCTATGGACAGCTGCAAGCCCCTCCTATGCTCTCTGGATGGCTGGCCTCAGTGTCTGTCTGACAGCCTCGTTCCTCTTCTGACCAGAGCAGCATTGAATTGGGAGGTGACACCTCCGTGTCTCTTTCTTCAAATGCAAAACCCTCTCCCCCTCTCAACCCAAGGATGGACATTTATGGCCAAAATGTCTCCTTTTCTTTCAGCGTTGGTTTTTGGGTCATAGCAGAGTTAGCTGGTGAGAAAGGTGGCCGTGGGAATACTTCTGGGCTAACCTGTAAACCCTGGAGAAAAAAATTGACCATAACCCTGGTGATGTTTCCTTTTGTTCTTCACTCTGATGGGATCCAAAACTCACTCTAAGCCACTGATTGAGACTTGAGGTTCACTAAAGAATAAGAGACTGACAGGACAGGTGTAGAGGTGCCAAGAAAGAATGGTCTGACAAATTGGCAATTACAAAGTAGTCATGGGACGTAAAGTGCAGCATCGGGAATACAGTCAATAACATTGTAATAGCTGTGTAAGTGCCGGTGAGTACTGGAAATATCGAGGGGAACACTAGGTAGAGTATATGATTGTCTAACCACTAAGCTGTACACCTAAAACCCAGCTATATATATAAAAGCCTAAGCAACCATCTGATCATTTGACCATCCGGCCCATAGCTATGATGTGCAATGGCCACCAAGGGGGCAGATGCTCATCACAGGAGCTGCTGAGCTGCAGTGACTTGGCAGCTGGTGTTCTCGGGTGACACATCCAGAACCAGAGAGGAGGGAGCCCAGTTCTGGTGTGCATCACCTGAGAACTGCCCTCTTGTAATCCAGGACCCCTCGGGGGATGTTGGAGAGCTGGTTTCGGCCCGATCCCGGCAGGCCAGGCCGAGGGACCCCACCAGTGCACAAATCTGTGCACCAGGCCTCTAGTACCAAATAAAATTGAAAGGTAAAAAGGAAAGGAAAGCTATCGGTCTGAATGGAAATAGACAATTCCTGTGGGTGTTGGGTCTGATGTCTGCTGGGTATGTCATTTCACATCTTGTCAGCCCTGTGATGTTGGCGGCTGACAGCTAAGGACTCTTAGACTCCGTGTACTCACAGTCTCACCACTTGGGAGTGGCCTCATTAAGACTCGAACCAAGGTTCACTCCAAAGCCATTGCCATTAACCAGGAAGCCATAAAGTCTCCCAGGAACTGCTCAGGGGACAGTATCCATGAACTCAGCCTGCAGGGTGAGTTAGATTTAGATACGCAGAGAGGAAAAGGAAGAGAGTTCTGGGCAAGAGGAGCAGTCAATACAATCAGAAAGCCTGAGAAAGGGAATAGAATGAGGACATGGAACAGTGCCTGCTGGTTGTAAGCTACAGAGGGCAGAGGTCGTTCTCCAGGGTCACCGTGGTCTCCCCAATGCCTGAGTGAGGGCCTGCTGCCTAGCAGGTGCTCAACAGATCTTTATTGCATGAATGAATACACTGACAGTTATCTTCTCCACAGACCAGGAGCCTCTTGAGGGCAGGGACCAGGCCTTGGAAATCTTTGGATGCCCTACAGCTCCTGGTGGTGGTAAACACGTAATAAATCTGTTCTGATGGGATGAATGAATGAACGGCAGGTCAGGGATGGTGGGAGATGTGCCCGAGTGAAGAGACACTGAGCAATACTTTACGAAATCCTGAGCACTGCACATGGGCTGGCACGGTGAGGGCATCCCTAGAAGGCTTTCAGTGCCAGGACAAGGAGCTGTTGTGTTCTCCTCAAGGCATTTTTTTAAGCTATCTTTTAATGCACCCTCTGGGGGCTCTGCAGAAACCCAGCCAGTGCCTAAACTTTGATGGCATTGCAAGGGAACTACAGTCAAGCACAGCTTAGGAATCACGTTTCTTTTTTCGCTTTCTTTCTTTAATATATTTTTACTAGTGACCCGGTGCACTGCTTCGTGCACATCGAAAGGAAATTAATTAAAATTCCTGGGGCAACATTGTGGCTCAAAGGGAGTGTTTGGAGTGAGGGGTGGGGGAGGAGAAAAAGAAAGAAAACTCATGCTCGGGTCTTCCGGCTCGCAGCACTGGCTCCGGTGTAGGGACTAATGCAGGTGGTCCAGGGTGGCGGCCAGCGGGATGGGACTAGGCAAGATGGACAGGACACGCCCTGGAGCCAACCTCCCGCGGTCCCTCCCCAGCTGGCTGCACCTGGGGTGGCACCACAGCTCAAGGGCATCTGTGGAGTGTGCGGGCTCCCTTTGGCAGATGGGGTCCCTTGGCCTGGCCTGCAGGGGTCAGGCCGAAACCAGCTCTCCGACATCCCCCGAGGGGTCCCGGAGTGCGAGAGGGCACTCTGCAAAGTTGCTGTCGCACAGGGTGTGGAATGCAAACACAAGTGTGCAGTAAACCAGATTCGGCTGACAGTGCCCTAGCAACAACATAACCCATGGCCGAAGGTGGAATTGCATGGCTCTGCAAGGAATTGGGCTCTCTCCTCTCTGGTGTCGGGGTGCATCACCTGAGAACCACCACTGCCAAGTCACTGCAGCTGGGCAGCTCCTGCGTTGAGCATCTGCCCCCGGTGGTCAGTGCACGTCATAGGTGCCAGACGGTCGGACGGTCACTTGGCCATATATATGTATGTATAGATTTCAGACAGAGGAAGGGAGAGGGAGAGAGAGATAGAGACATCAATGATGAGAAAGAATCATTGATTGGCTGCCTCCTGCACATCCCCCACTGGGGATCGAGCCTGCAACCCTGGCATGTGCCCTGACCAAGAATGGAACCATGACCTCCTGGTTCATAGGTTGATGCTCAACCACTGAGCCACACAAGCTGAACTAGAAATCACTTTTCTGTCTGGATGGTCGCAAACTGATCCCCTTCACTCCCTACTGTGGGGTGACCACACTGTTTAAACCAGTGGTTCTCAACCTTCTGGCCCTTTAAATACAGTTCCTCATGTTATGACCCAACCATAAAATTATTTCTGTTGCTGCTTCATAACTTTAATGTTGCTACTGTTATGAGTCATAATGTAAATATCTGATATGCAGGATGGTCTTAGGCGACCCCTGTGAAAGGGTCGTTCAACTGCCAAAGGGGTCGTGACCCACAGGTTGAGAACCGCTGGTTTAAACCAAAACAGACCTGTTAAAAGTTCTGGATGGGACCCCGTAGGGTAGAGGTGCCTTGGGGGGGTGGGGAGGGGGAGGGGTCTTGGAGTTGTTTTTAGGATCGTTTGGCTCAAAAGTCCCAGCTGACATCCTCCAAAACGTGGTCTCTCAGTCCAGGATTTCTCAATAAACGCCGCCCTCTCTTTCCAGGTGTTGGCTAAATTTGTGGTTTTAAGAAAACCCGAGCCTGCAGGCAGCCGCCCTGGGAGAAGCCCTTTCCGTGGGCAGTCGGAACCTTCTGGACCAGAGGAGAAGCCGTCCCCTCACCTGGACTTATGACCCGCGGCTTCGCCCCCAGCCTGCCCGCCGAGGTCCACAAGATGGGCTCCTTCCGCAGGCCCCGGCCGCGCTTCATGAGCTCCCCGGTGCTCAGCGACCTGCCCCGATTCCAAGCCACCCGCCAGGCCCTGCAGCTGAGCTCCAACTCGGCCTGGAACAGGTAGAGGAGGCGGCCACGGGTGGGGTGGGGGCTGCCCGGGCCAGAGCAGGGCCGGGGCCGGGCTTGGCGTCTGCTGCTTCCGAGGCCTCTGTGTCAGAAGGTCATGGTTACAGGGACAATTGACGAAGAGAGGATGCTTTTCTCCAGGGACTGTATCCGAGCTGTCCTGGTTTTAGCAGGGGCAGAGTGGACCCCTGGGGGCCTCCAGGCCAGCAGAGCCAGTTACCTAGCCCTGGACAGTGGGGTGGGAACTGACAGGACTTTTGATGCTCATTTGTCACATCCCTACTCAGAGGACCCACGGGTGGGACCATCTAAGTAAACTCAAGTCACCTTCTACCTATGTGGGAAGGTAAGACGCGTATCTGTGAACTATGTGGGAAGGTAAGACGCGTATCTGTGAAAAGCTAAGAGACCATCACGTGACGTGAGCCGCAGTCGGCTGGGAGAGGAGACACTGGGCTTTTTAATTTTGTTTATTTTATTACTATGTCTGCTCCTCCATCTAGAGTAGCAAGTCTAAACTCTAGAAAGAGAAAGTCCTTTGTGCTGTTAACATTTCCAAGTTGGGTGATAAATAATTGCTACCCATTTGCTGAGGTGGTTCGAGACACTGGGCTTCTTTGTAAGGTGTCTCGCCGACCTTTTGCACACCAAGCAGAGTAGAGCATCAATACTCTGTCTTGCACTCCTGTGGCCACTATTTTTCAAATCTCTGCACTTACTCTCCGGATAAATTAAAGGCAGCATTCTCTGGAAGCATCACTGACTGCTTTGGGGTCAGAAGTTGAGGATTTTCTCAGTGAACGTGGCTCTTATGATGGGGAAAGAGCGGAGGCTCTGAAATGTTTTGATGTTCACTGGATCCTTGTTCTTTAAAAAAGGCCTTGGAATCAGCTCCTTGTGGAACTATTGGGGTCCCAGAGAAGGTGGAGTGGAGACTTGACTGTGGCCCTTTAAGAGATTAACTTGGATGGGAGTGGAAGGGGCAGTGAGGCTGGCCCCAGTGAGATTCTTCCAAGGAAAGTACTGTTAGAAAAAGTAAGACAAGGAATGGTCATTTCCCACGAGCCCCAGGCTGCCCTCTGAAGACAGGGCCTCCTGGGAGAAGGAACCCCAGGCCTAGGTCCCCGCTGCTTGCAGAAAGCACCATCAGGTTCCTCCAGGCTCAGCAGGGCTGCCAGTGAGGGAGGAGGAAGGCTGCCGGCCTGGAGAAAGCAGGGCGGGGAGGGGGCGGGGAGGGGGGGCTGCCTTGGGGTCCTCGTGACTTCAGTCTTCCTCTCCAAGGGCCCTGGTCAGAAAATGATGGGCTCCGGGGATGAAAATGTGGCCCTGTTTATGCCGCGTTTTTTTCCCTTCCAGCCCCCCTCATCCCTGAGCTGTTTGTTGACATGGCTGTGGGCAGATCCTCTAACCAGAACTTGCTTCTATTTATTTCCCTGCAGCGTGCAGACCGCCGTGATCAACGTTTTCAAAGGCGGAGGCTTGCAGGGCAATGAGCTCTATGCACTGAATGAAAACATCAGGTACGCACAGGCCCGGCCAGAGGGCAGAGGGCGATAGCCCACCCGGGGCCTTATCTTAAGTTTTGTTTTCTGCTTGATTCTTATTGCTGCTTCTGCTGGCTTTGTGCCTCTTATGGCTGTTCAGTTCTGAGACCCTGATTGGTCTAGGTCAGGGGTCCTCAAACTACGGCCCGCGGGCCACATGCAAACACAAATATTGTATTTGTTCCCGTTTTGTTTTTTTACTTCAAAATAAGATATGTACAGTGTGCATAGGAATTTGTTCATAGTTTATTTATTTATTTATTTATTTTAATATATTTTATTGATTTTTTACAGAGAGGAAGGGAGAGAGATAGAGAGTTAGAAACATCGATGAGAGAGGAACATCGATCAGCCGCCTCCTGCACATCTCCCACTGGGGATGTGCCCGCAACCCAGGCACATGCCCTTGACCGGAATCAAACCTGCGACCCTTCAGTCCGCAAGCCGACACTCCATCCACTGAGCCAAACCGGTTTCGGCCATAGTTTATTTTAAAACTATAGTCCGGCCCTCCAACGGTCTGAGGGACAGTGAACTGGCCCCCTGTTTAAAAAGTTTGAGGACCCCTGGTCTAGACTTTTACTCCAGAGGGGCCCATCCATTTGTTCATGGATGTACTGTGTGTGTGTGTGTGTGTGTGTGTGTGTGTGTGTGTGTGGCGGAGGGGTAGAGGGCTCATGGATGGTAGCTGTCTTCTGTTCTATAAACACTGACTGTGCTCTGCTTAACCTTCAGGCACCATGTTAGGCAAGATGCCACGCAGTTGTAATCACTCTGCTGGGGATTTTACTGCAGGTCTTTTTACTAAGTGAATGACGGACTTTTTTTTTGTGCCTCAGTTTCCTCTTATGCGAAACAGGGATAGAAAACATGTCTACATCCATAGGACTCATGTGTAGATTCGAGTGAGTTGTTACACAAATTATCCATTAGAACACGGTTGGAACACACTAAGTACTTGGTCCTTGTTGCTCTTTCTGTTGTTGTAGTTGAGGTGACATTTATTCTTTCTTGTTCTCCCCATGTGTGGACTCACTTCATAATTGTTACTATCAGAATACAGGCTGCTGTAAGGAGCAAAAATCTGACAAATGGGACTTCAGCAAGTAAGGGATTTTATTGTCTCACTGTCTAGGGAGGCCGGTCCAGGGCTTGAGTGGCAGCTACACTTGTCCTTCAGCTCTGCCATCAGAATCTTGGGGCCTTTGTGCCTTGGGCACCTGTGGGCATCGCTTCTTCATTCAAAAAGAAATTAAAGGCCAAAATGCCATGCAAGTCCAGTTTTCCCAGAGCTCTTCAGGCAGGACTGGGGCCCTTAATTGCAAGGGAGTCATTTTTACTGGGCATATTACCCTCAACAAAAGGAGCGGAATGAACACCTAAGCCATCTTCCTCCTGGGGGCTGATGCCACTGGCCTGTCACCACCTAAGTCTGGGGTGTGTGAGTCCTTGTAGTTCTTAACATCGTTATCAGTTACTGTCATTCCTGGTAGGTTTTGGGGATACAAACCTCAATAAGACATGGTCCTTGAGGAGTTCATTGTCTTCCAGAATCTTCCCAGTGGAGTAGTGTCAGCATTCATTCATTCATTCATTCATCTACTCATTCCTACATTCATCAAATACTTGAGTCCCAATAGGGTAGTGTCAACTTTCATTCATTCATCTACCCATTCATACATTCATCAAATACTTGAGTGCCTCCCTACTGGCCAGGGACTAGAGAGACATCAATGAACAAAGACAGACATGGACCTTGCTCTCCTGGAATTTATAGTCTGTCAGGGAGATAATCATTAGTCAGTCAGTCACGCTTGTAAAATGTAGAAGTGCAGCTGTGACAGCTGCTACCACACAGCTGAGTGAGGAAAGCATATGTCCCCATAACCCGACCCTGCCCAGGAGGCCAGGAATGGTGCTGGGATGCTTGTGCTGTGAGTTGAGGTATCAGTGGGAATTAACTAGGCGAAGAGGGCTCCAGGCGGTGGGAACTGCAGGTGAGAGGTCCCGTGGTGGCAGTGAGCAAGGAACTGGGTAAAGACCCATGTGCATGGAGCACCAGAGGTCTGGTGGTGGTGGGAAGTGAGGGCATTGAGGCGGGCAGGGCCCTGAGCCCCAGGGCCTCCTGGGGGCAGGAGGTTAAAGATCAGATCTTTTCATGCCCTGGCGTTCATTCCACTCTGCTGTGTTAAGTACAGACATGAAGGCAGAAGATCCCACCCTGGAGTGGGCAGAACAATAAACAAGGCCATTATTCAGGTCCTGTTTACATTTAGTCAAGGTCTGTGTTAAGGGTCAACGAGGTGTTTGAAGAGCCCTGCTTTCCTGAAAACCTTTCCAGCTCAGAAGTAAACAGGGTTGTGTTACATTTCTACCCAGGTGCTTGAATTTCACATCATAATTACACAAATATGGGAAGAGTCCATAGATAGCATCTAGCGCAAGGCCTCCTCAAGGCCTCCTCCCGCAGAGGAGGAAGCCCAGGCCCCAAGACAGAGGCAAAGCTGGGTCAGCCAAGCCCAAGGTATGGGAGCTCAGTTTTCCTCTCAGAACTCAGGCCCTGGCCTCTCCTGGGGGTTCCTCAGCTCACAATCAAAGCATAAATAACAACAGTGACTCAGGAATGTGCTAATTGTTCCTCACCTCGGGAGACCTATCCTGAAATTGTATTTAAAACCTTTGTTGGTGGGCAGCCAGGAAAAGTGGAGGCCTGGCCAGATTTTACCAGCTCAGGGATGCTAACTCGGAAGCCTCCGGGTGCCAAGCAGGTCTTCCACGTGGGTGAGGCCCACCTGGTGCAGGGAGGCGAGAGCTCACCCCCTGCAAAGGGGATTACCCCGGCAGAACACAGGTCCAGCGACTTGTCATCTTATTTCTCAAGAAGAACAGGAAATTGGGATTTTTATGTGAAATTTCCTGGCTTTTAAATGTTGATAACGAATCCACATTTCCTCAAACATTGGCGCAGGCCAAACAAAACACATCTGTGGGCTGAATTTGACCAACAGGCTACCTGTCTATTAGGTCAGCTGTGGCCTGCATAGGACAGGCATTGCTGACGGGGTTGGGGGGGGGGGGCGTGGGGGGGTGTCACATCCCAGAGTCTAGTCCAGGGGTGGGCAAACTTTTTGACTCGAGGGCCACAATGGGTTCTTAAACTGGACCGGAGGGCTGGAACAAAAGCATGGATGGAGTGTTTGTGTGAACTAATATAAATTCAAAGTAAACATCATTATATAAAAGGATACGATCTTTTTTTTTTTTAGTTTTATTCATTTCAAATGGGCTGGATCCGGCCCACGGGCCATAGTTTGCCCACGGCTGGCTCTAGTCTCAAGGCCTCTCGAGGGGGAAGAAGGGAGCCTGGAAAAGCCAGGCACCTTTCACATCCATCAGTACATTTACCCTCCTCACTGCCCTGTGAGGCAACCACTGTCATCAGTAGCTTATCCACAAAATTGTGGATAAGTAAAACCAAATACCTTGTCCAAGGTCATGCAGCCAGAAGGGTAGAATCAGGATTCGAACTCCTGTCTGACTTAGATGCCTGTATTAGTTTGTTCAGGCTGCTATAACAAATGCCATGGACTGGGTGGCTTAAACAATAGATATTTCTCACTCTTTTAGAAGTGGGAAGTATGAGATCAAGATGCTGGCAGATTTGGTTCCCGGTGAGAGCACTCTTTCTGGCCAACATCTTGCTGTGTCCACATGGCTTCTTTCTTATGTACACCAGCGGGGAGAGAGCACGCTCTCTGGTGTCCCTCCTTAAAAGGGCACTAATCCCACCATGGGGCCCCACCCTCATGGCCTCATCTAACCCCAGTTACCTCCCAAAGAGCCTATCTCCAAATACCATCATGTTGGTGGGGGTGGGTGGAGGGCTTCGATATATGAATTTTCCAGGGGAACACAGTTCAGTTCATAGCAACACCTGTGCTCTTTGCACTCTATTGTAGTGTCAGAGAGAGGGGTTTTAGGTTGGAAGAAGGTTAAGGCGATGGTCTTGAACTTCCTGCCATCGTCCCTTTCATGAGCCTGTGAGCCCATCCCTCATCATGTGCTGTGATTCTCAACACCCTCTGAGGAGCATCACACACACACACACACACACACACACACACACACACACACACCGCTGATGGGTTTTGGGGGCTGCTGAAGGTTCCCCTCTCTGTTTTGAGCGATTTTTCAGGTTGATGGGAAATACATATGGTTGGGGTTTGTTCCTATGTGAATTGAACCCAGAGTCAAAGCTGTTAAAAACCAGAGCTTCTGTTACCCATGTTCTGAACCGTCCATCTCCTGGCCCTTCTCTGGGAGGGTGGCTAGACTGGAGATGGGCTTTCACATCACGGGAACAACTCAGAGTCTAACTGAGAACGTGAAACACGCCCCAGGCCTCGATGTGACCTGGTCATCTAAGTTGAATGAAGCGGGCTGACCTGCACATGGCCCACATCCGTAAGTGCCTGCACAGAAATGAGATAATGCCCTTCTTTCAGCGATTAAAATGCCAAAAGAGACACGTTATTCTCTACTTAACGTTCACATCGAGAGTTGGGTTTTGCTTTTCCTTTTCTCTTCTTTTTCCTTTTGGAACACCTGTTGGCAGCCTACATCCAGAAACCCCACAGGTTGAGGCATGACTGGTGGTGGGGTGCATGCATGGGGGCGGTGGGGGGTGGGGGGGCACATAGGATGGTAGGAACACAGGGAAGAAGATGTGGATGGGCAGAATGTAAGTTATTCTCAAGCCACTTTTCAATCCATTGTGACAGTTCTCTGTGCAAGAAGACCCGTGCCAGGTTCAGCAGGATATTTTTTCACTTGTTAAAAGAGTAGCTTTTGGATTCAAAGAGACAGGGGATCCAGATTGAGACAGGGGATCCAGATTGGACTAGCTGGGCCTTGGCCAGTATGGCTCAGTTGGTTGGGCATCATCCTGTGCTCAGAAAGGTTGCCGGTTTCATTGC